TGACAATTAATACAATATTCCGTAATTAAACCACAGGGTTGGGGGAATTTAAAAGGTTCAACTTTCTAGGTAAGGGTGACAGTGTGCCTTTAAATCTGAAAAGCACATTACCACCACTGTAGATGAAGCTCTAGTTATTTTAAAATCCTAAACACTCACACCCAAATGAAAGAAAGTAACTTAAATATGTCAAATGGCCAGGGAACCCCGAGACCTGCAGTCTGCTGATATGAAGTGATTACTGTTTAGCCACACACAACGAGCAACTGAAAACTGATTGTCCTGAATAAAGACCAAAAGAACTGCGGATGCTGTAAATCAGGAACAAAAACAAAGTTGCTGGAAAAGCTCAGCAGGTCTGGCAGCATTTGTGGAGGAGAAAACAGAGTTAACGTTTCCGGTCCGGTGACCCTTCCTCAGAACTGATGCTGGCTGGGAAAACGTCAGTTTGTAGGCAGAAAATAGGGAGGTGGGTGGGGTAGGGAGTAAACAATAGGATAGAGCCCAAAGAGAGAGAAAGATAGTTGGACAGACAAAGGAGTTGCTAATGATCAGGCTGGGAGGGTGAGTAGTTGTTAATGGGGACTGTTAGTGACTAACAACAGGGGGTGTGGAATGGCAGGCTATGTGGTAACAAGGGGTAGGGGGGCTGCGACATGGGAGAGTTTAGGCCCTAAAATTATTGAACTCAATATTGAGTCTGGAGGGCTGTAGGGTCCCCAAGCGGAAAATGAGGTGTTGTTCCTCCAGCTTGCATCGGGCTTCACTGGAACACTGTAGCAAGCCGGAGACAGAGATGTTGACCAGAGAGCAGGGTGGTGCATTGAAGTGGCAGGCAACAGGTAGTTCAGGGTCTTTTTTGCGAGCAGAACGTAGACGTTCTGCGAAGCGGTCGCCAAGTCTATGCTTCATTTTCCCAATGTAGAGGAGACCACATTGTGAGCAGCGAATGCAGTAGACTAAATTCTGGGAAGTGCAGGTAAAGTGTTGCTTCACCTGGAATACTTGGATACTGAGGAGGGAGGAGGTAAATGCGCAGGTGTTGCACCTTCGCCGATTACAAGGGAAGGTGCCGTGAGGAGGTGTTGGGGGTGAAAGAAGTGTGGACCAGGGTGTCCCGGAGGGAACGGTCCCTGCAGAAGGTGGACAAGGGAGGAGCGGGGAGGGGAATAGGTGTCTGATGATCTTATGGATGTGGATGCTGGTGGGATGGTAGGTGAGGATAAGGGCAACCCTATCGCTGTTGCGGGAGGGAAGAGAAGGGGTGAGGGCAGAAGTGCGGGAGATGGGTCGGACCCAATTGAGGGCCCTGTCGACAACGGAGCTGGGGAATCCTTGTCCGCCTTCCGCAGAGACCGTTCTCTCCAGGACACTCTGGTCCACACTTCCTTCACCCCCAACACCTCCCCACAGCCCTAGGGCACCTTCCCCTGTAACCGGTGAAGGTGCAACGCCTGCGCATTTACCTCCTCCCTCCTCAGTATCCAAGGGCCCAAACATACCTTTCAGGTGAAGCAACACTTCACCTGCACTGCAAGACTCTAGTCTACTGCATTCGCTGCTCACAACGTGGTCTCCTCTACATTGGGGAAACGAAGCATAGACCTGGCGACCGCTTTGCGGAACATCTACGTTCTGCTCGCAAAAAAGACCCTGAACTACCTGTTGCCTGCCACTTCAATGCACCACCTTGCTCCCTGGCCAACATCTCTGTCTCCGGCTTGCTACAGTGTTCCAGTGAAGCCCAACGCAAGCTGGAGGAACAACACCTCATTTTCCGCTTGGGGACTCTACAGCCCTCCAGACTCAATATTGAGTTCAATAATTTTAGGGCCTAAACTCTCCCATGTCCCAGCCCCCTACCCCACACACCAGGCCTTGTTACCACATAGCCTGCCATTCCACACCCCCTGTTGTTAGTCACTAACAGTCCCCATTAACAACTACTCACCCTCCCAGCCTGATCGTTAGCAATTCCTTTGTCTGTCCAACTATCTTTCTCTCTCTTTGGGCTCTATCCTATCGTTTACTCCGTACTCCACCCACCTCCCTATTTTCTGCATATAAATTGACGTTTACCCAGCCACCATCAGTTCTGAGGGTCACCGGACCGGAAACGTTAACTCTATTTTCTCCTCCACAGATGCTGCCTGACCTGCTGAGCTTTTCCAGCAACTTTGGTTTTTGTTTCTGATTGTCCTGAACATTGGTCCCAGATAATGATCTTAAAAGCTGGTTTAAGCCAGGTCACAGAACTTATAGCACTAGCCAAACCCTTAAAGGGGAGGAACAGCAGAACAATACGTATACAGATAGTAGGTTTGCAGCAGTTGGAGCAAGATCACCTGAAACTGGCAAGAATGTACATTACCACATAGGGGTAGCAGGAAGTTGTAGTAGTCAAAGCCAAGATTCACCAATCATCATCCCAGTTGTGACATTGTAAAAGGATCAAGGAATGGTTATATCCTATTTACAAAAGCAGGCTTAGCACTTCAAGGATCTTACAAGGTCCTTGTAACCAGTGACACTTGCATGTGAGGGTATGGAAAGCAAAGGCTGGTGGAAACACTGGACAGACAGCAGGATGCATGGAAACACAAAGAATATAAGAATTAATCAGAGACAATCAGCATCTGCTACATTCTCTTTACAGGACCATGGAAACCAAATGATGGCTAATATGTCATGCAACCACAATGACAGAAGGTACGAAGTCGGTTGACCAGACAGCCCCACAAAGCTCCTTCTATCACAACTCGATTGCTGCCATTTGGGATCAGGGGGATGGAACGTTAAATGTTGTGGCTAATGAACTATTAAGCCTAAGGCACACTCGGGGCATTTGCGAACAAGGAACAGCAGGGCCTGATGTTAGAGCAGTGAATTCTAATGCATATAGGGTGGAAACTTGTATAAAATTGTAAAGAAATGATTGCTGTAAACAGACCAGGTATCCCAAACTTAACTAGTCCCATTTGCCTGCATTTGGTCCATAATTACTCTAAACCTTTCCTATTTAAACATCTTCCTAAATGTCTTTTAAATGTTGTAATTGTGCCCATCGTTACCACTTCCTCTGGCAGCTCATTCCATACATGCACTGCCCTCTGTGTGAAAAAGTTGCCCCTCACGTCCTTTTCAAAATCTTTCCCCTCTCACCTTAAACTTATGCCCTCTAGTTCTGGACCCCTCTATCCTGGGAAAAAGACCTTGGCTATTCATCTTATTTATGCCCCTCATGATTTTATAAACATTTATAAGGTCACTCCTCAGCCTCCAACACTCTAGCGAAAGTGCATCAGCCTATCCAGTCTTTTCTTATAATTCAAACCCTCCAGTTCCGGCAACACCCTCGTAAATTTTTACTGCACCCTTCCTACTTTAGCAACATCGTTCCTATAGCAGGGCAACCAGAATTGTGTGCAGTATTCCAAAAGTGGCCTAACCAATCCCAACTCCTGCACTCAATGATCTGACCAATGAAGGCAAGTATGCCAAATGCCTTCTTCACCACCCTGTCTACATGCATCACCACTTTCAAGAAACTATGAACCTGCACCCCAAGGTCCCTCTGTACAACAACATTCCCCATTCTTTGCATCAGATCTTTGCAAATACATTAGGGTAGGTCAAAGACCAGGTACAAGGAGAGACTACAGAAACTGGGGTCTCCTGACAGCACAGAAGGTAAAAGGAGATGTACAAGAAATGCCCAAAATTCTGAAAGGCATTGATTGGTATTGCTTACTCAGACTGCTTCCACCGACACTGGGGACAGTACACAAATGACACAGATTAAGGCAATTCGGAAAGAACAACTTGGGACATTAAGGGTGAGATGGATTTCCACTGCAAGTTATAATTTGGAATGTACTAGTTGAAAGGATGAATAGAAGGAAAATATGGAGAATGTTTAATTGTGACTTGCTAAAGGAAATTGTATAATTACTTGAAGCAGTGGAAATAAGTTCCACGGCGATGGGGAAAGGTCAGGAAAGAGTGTAACTAATTGGAAAAAACACTCAAAAAACTGACAGAGGCACAATAAGCCAGATGTCCTACTTCTTTATTTTTTATCATGCTAAAGATAAAATATTTCTGCAAAAATGTGACCTTTCCTCCTCCACCAGCATGATTCCCCTGCTTTTTTTCCTCCCCTTTAAATATTTTGAAGTGTTGAATGGAATTGACAAGGTGTGCTGAATTACAGACAGCATTACACTACAATTTACCAGCCAATATTACATGATTTCAGACGCCCTATACTGAGATCCCAAAGAGGGAATCAGTGAGGAATTCATCAGATTTTCCTGAAACTTATCTATGTTTTGGTTACCCTTTGGGTAATGGTGGGGTCTTGGGACCAGGTAAGAAAAGTGAATAGAAGAGGCCTCAGCCCTTTAAAGAAAAGGCAAATTTCATCCAATTAACTTCTAAAAAGTAAAACAGAGTAATGACTTCTCACAAAATTTTGACTGGGAAGTAAGAGGGGCAAGTCAGTTTGCTACTAGAAAAAGATGAGGAAATACATGAGAACAAAGCACAAATAAAAGGCTATACTGATTGTGTTTGATGAAGACAGTGTGAGGAGGTGGCCAGGTGAAGCACAATCTCGAAATTGGACTGGTGGGACTGAATGGCCTGCCTATCCTGTACATTATTGTGGTATTAACAGACAGCAGGCCACAGCAAGGCTCAGAGATCGCACAAGGCAGCGAAGAAATAACTAATCGGGGATGACCGTATGATAAGGAAATTTAATGCTCAAATGTGGTCTTCTTTCTGAATTTCATATTTAACAGCTATAATTATGTCATATGCCACACAAAACAGGTGACAGAGTTGTGAGATCTAATTGAGTGCTTGGTTTATTTGAACGCATGATGCCTTCTGAAATATGATTGATTCAAGGTGGTGGCTATTATCACTGACTGACAGACAGACATGAAGCAGAGTCAAGCATTATTGAGCAGTTGCAGCAAGTACACACACATTACCTTCATGTCCTTTCAATGTTGAAATGACGCTGCATGAATTCTGTTCAAGCTTTAACAAAGTGATCTGTCCAGAGTAATCACCAACAAACGCATGACATGTTTCCATATCATATCTGACGAATTTGTGAGTTAGAAAGAGTAAAAGTTGATGACATTCTCCTCTCAACACACAACAGAGGTATGATTTTCAACAGAACCAAAAATTAGGCATAAGTGACTGAACATTTGTTACTGCATTAACGCCCAAAGTAAATTTATATCAAAGTATCTTTTTGCAAACCTGAACTACCAGTAAATCTTTGATCAGAGATTATGTTTTCAGCACTGACAAAGGCAGAGCTGTATTCCTCTAATATTAAATTTATAGCCAACAGTACTGCTCCACTGGAAACAGACCAACAAGAATGAATACAAAACAATCCTTTCAGAAGCAGCTTCTTCAAATTCTGAACTCTCACCTAACCAAAAAAAATAGGAAATACTATTTAGAAATATATGAAGCAAAAGAAGCTCTGTTTTCATCACCCATCAGTTTCCTCCCACAGACTAAAAGATGTTCAGGCTAGGTGGATTGGCCATGCTAAATTGCCCATAGTGTTCAGGGATGTGTAGATTAGGTGGGTTATAGGATGATGAGTCTCAGTGGGATGTTCCAAGGGTCAGTGTGGACTTGTTGGGCCGAAGGGCCTGTTTTCACGCTGTAGGGATTCTATGATGATTCTATGATGAAAACTTTTGGTTAAGCACCTAAACTGATTTCAGAACCAACTGCAACACAAATTAAATTCTGGACAGTAACATTCCTTTACCAAATTCAATGGATTATCAACCTGTACCTATTAAATTAACTACTTGTTTGGAAGACAACATTGCAGATTCCAGTGTAAAGCAATCTACTTGGAAACGAACACTCCCTCTCTTTCCAGAGTCATCAACTGGTTGTGGAAACAATTTTGCTTTGGTACACCAGAAACAGTGATACTGAACTTGATTGTATGTCAGAAATTATATTGTGCAAAAAGTGGAAAATCTATCTTCAGTGCAGTAAAAGAGGTAATGGAATAAAGAAAAGAATGCAGAGAGTTGGGACTCTAGAAGAATTGATCGTTTGGGGGAGCCTTCTGTTTTTACAGTCCCAAAATGCTATTAGATTAGCAAAAGCCAATTGAGCTTTGTTTTTAAAAGGTGCAAACAGATATTCTCAATAGAAGCCTTTGTGCTCTAATGCCTTTTCTTTTTGAATGATTATTTGAATTTTCTAATTTGAAGAGACATGTTTGTTATTCAGAATGATGCCTTAAAAAGCTCTAGTAACTTTTTCTTAAAGCAGGATCTAGTTACATGCTGTAATTCCACCCTTGTTTCCAAAGTTATGCTGGCTCAGTGATCTAAAGGTGTTGGTTTTGATTGAACAGGTTGCTAGCCTCAAAAGATATTTGCTGCATCAAAGATGAACTTTGCCCTGCGATTATAACACAAAATGCAGTTTAAACTGGTACGCAGATCAGCAGATGAAATAATAGTGGGAAGTACACAGATATTGGTTAAAACAATTAAGACTAGGTATCCTTGTGACATCTTTGGAATTAGTTCAACCCTGCCACACAAGAAACTCTCATTATTTGTTTAACGAATTATAAGTTGGTAAACTGTCTAACAGAGGAATCAGGGCAAAAGTGAAGGATACTGTAAGCAGGAAGCCCATGCACCAAAGCAATGTCTTCCCTGTAGACATCCACTCCTGGTACACATCCAGCTGAGGTACTTGTCATGTCCTGTGCTTATAACCCATTCAGTTTCTGGAGAAAATATGATTGCTGAAACACGATTCTGATGTGCTGGAGAGAGAAAGAAAAAGCCACTATTACAAAAAAAGTTTATAGTTGAGGCAAACCAGTGTATTCTATATTTGTGAGCCATTACACTATGCACTGCACAGAAGAACGCATTTCTCTCTATGCACTTACATTGATGAGAAGATCAGAAGAATGATAAAATGAGTTATCTGCTTTAAACTCAAGAATAAAAAATAAAACTCCCTTACTGAACATTACAAGGGATGAAAAAAAAACGATATTTTATTTGAATTTTCACACCCTCAGGATGTCCCAGAGCAGCTCAAAACTATTCTGCTCAACCTCAGATAGTAACTTGGGAATGTCTGTGCCCACCTGGACAGACAGCTACGGCCTCAGTTTAACATCTCACGTGAAAACAAAACCACCAATACCATACTCTCTCAGCACCAAACTAAGTCCTGGCCTAGATAATGTGCTCAAGTCCTGCAGTTGGATTTGAACCTATGACCTGGGGTGAATTGGAATCAAATGCACCACCACTTAGCTGAGCTGACATTGGTAACATTTTTGTCATAGCGTCAGAAAACCACAATTATGCCAATGAACAGAAAAGTAGCAGTTATTGCCTTTTCAAGAAAGTGGAAAGAGATACAGCATGAAGTTACACACCAACTGCTACACACTTCAATTGTTGAACAACTATCAGGTTTTATTACTCACCATGGGCCAAGCAGAATGAATTTTTAAATGGTAAGGCCGTGCTTAAGTAATTCCTCCAAATAAAAGTCAGCATGAAAGGCTGTATTTGTGGAATTTTCAGGTTTTAATAACACATATGCAAATGGTTAGGAAAATTAAGACATTAAAGAGCAGTGGCTAGGGGGGCAAAAAGTATAATATGGATAAAAAGATGGGTATAGCTTGGTCATCCTGTAATATTTTAGTCTGCAATTTGAAAGGCACGCTATTAGTTCTATGATAAGATGGTCCAATCACACTGTGGATCAAATTTAAGTGTTGATTCAGAATGTGGGCTCTCTTATGAAAACCGCCTTGCTGTTACAGCAATGAATCAAGAGGCTGGAGAAAACATGAACATTAATCCTGACAGCATTTTAGCCAACACTGACAAATGGAGAAAATCATACCCTTAAATGAATTCAATGAATTAGTGTTACCGCCAAGTCTGGAGAGTTCACCCCGAGTCTAATCCCATTACTGCGCAGGTTACAATGTAAAATATAAACATTTTCTCCAGTTAACGAAATGGCCAATTAAATACCTTACATTAGGTTTTAAACAAAAAAGACGTTCTTTAATTAGCAAAATTATGGGTTTATTATCCAAACCAAGCTTATTCAATAAAGACACAACAATTTGTAAAAATACAATAAACAGGCAATAAAATAGAAGTATAAGTGCTTATCCCTCTACATATCTCTGAAACACTCACTTCAGGCAGACAGAAAATAAAATTTCTCTGTAAAGATTGGCTTTCTGGGAAAAAGTAAATTGACATTGGCCAGTGGGTTACTCTTGAAGGCAAATGGACAAAGCATAGAATGTTCCAGAGACCGTTGCGCTGATATTCTGGCACGTGATTCAACCACTATCCCCAAGCCAGTTACTGTTCAAAAAACAGTAGGGGTTTACAGCAAAGTAAGCGGTTATTGCCAGTCATGTCATTTACAGGAAGCCTTGTTTAAAAATCTCTACTGTCTACAGGAACTTTCAATTACTTCTTCTAAAAGAAACCACATTATTTTCACAAAACTTGAAATAAATCCATTTTCCATAATCCTTCAAAAGTTGAAGGATTACATAGAAAGTATTTGTTATAACAATGGCTAGTTAGCCTCTATGAGTTGACATTGTGTTTCAATGCATAAAAGTGTCCTTGGAGTGCCCAAGCCTTTCAAACCAATACAAAATAAATTAAATACTTTTGAAGTGCGTTTATTCATTTCTAGGCAAACAACAAACAACTGTGTACAGCAAGGTCTCACAAATACTTAAGGAGATGAATAATCAGTTTCATTGCTGTTGGTTAAGAGACAAAATGTTGGCCAGGCTGTTGAGAGAGATTTCACTAGGTTGGCTTCCAAGATGAAGGGGTGTCTTAAAGGTTGAGCAGGTTGCACTTATACTCACGGGTGTTTAGAAGAATGAGATTACCTTATCGAACATACAGAACTGCTGAGGAGACTTTACAGGACAGATGCTGAAAGTATGTGAATCCATAATTACGGGGCATTTTTTCGGCTTCCTATTTAAGATCAGGCAAGAAGAAATTTCTTTGGAACAGCAAGAATCTTTAGAACTCTACCTCAGAGAACCACTGTGTCTCATATATTCCAGACTGAGAAAGGCAGATTCTTCGAGTACAAGATGGTGAGCAGATACTGGGAGGGAAGTGGAATTTAGATTAATTATGGATTACTCATGGTCTTACTGAATGGTGGAGAAGGCTCATGATGTTATAAGGCCTACTCCGTTTCTTATGTTCTAAGTCCCTACTTTTCTTCCAAACGAACCATCTAATGAGATCATTCATGAAATGTGGGCTTCTGTACCAGGGTTGACAAATGTTGCCTAACTGCTGTTAAGTAGGTAGTGGTGTGCTGCCTTCTTATTCAGCTGAAATCCATGTGAAGAAGGCTCACCCACAGTGCTATTAGGTAGAGAGTTCCAATCTTTTGGCCCAGCAACCAAGTGATACATTTCAAGTCATGCTGGTGTGCAGTTTGGAGGGAAACTTTCAGGTGGTGGTGTTCCCACACATCTGCTGCCCTTCTGGGCGTAGAGCTTTCAAGTTTGGAAGATGCTGCCAAAGAACCCTTTGCAAATTGAGGTATTTCTATATAGCACAGTAACAACTATGATCCATCAGTCAGAAGGATTTTGCAGCTTTGTCAAAGCTGGTAGCGTCTTTGTCATGTCCAATGCTAAGTGGTCAATCCAGTTGTATTTTTCAAAGGCTTTTTCGTAGTGTTGGCTTGATACAACTGAGTGATTTGTTAAACCATTTCAGACAGCAATTAAAAGACAACCATATTCCTGCAAGTCTGAAGTTACATAGCCCAGAACAGGCGAGAACAATAGATTTCCTTCCCCAAAGGACATCAGTGGACATTATGAGTTTTTAACGATAATCTAGTAGTTTTATCATTAGCTTTTGATTTCAGATTTTATTAATGGAGTTTGTTTCCCAGCTGTTGTGATGAAATTTGAAGTTATGTTTCCAGATCTCTGGATTATAGTAGCTCAGCTAAAAAACCACAAGGCTACCTTAAGTGCCATGGAATCTTTTACAACCAGCTGAACAGAGGTCTGAGTTAATGTTTTACAGCATTTCTTTGATTATCTAAGATGACAGTTTAATAGATTATGTGCCCAAGTCCTGCAGCAAGGCAAAAACCAATTACCCAATGACAGAGGTAGACTAAGAAGCCACTACTAAGCTAAGGCAATGTTAATTGTGCCAACTTGCAATAATAATGTGAAAAATGCTGTTATTTCCTAAAATAAAGTCATTCACCCTTGATAACATTTGACTAAGTGTTTAAATATTTTTGTCTAGATTCACAGAATTATAATATATGCTAATTTAATACATTAAATGAAACTACAGAGGAGATTGAAGTCCACAGGGGTCACACTGTGACAGGCAGATCAATGTTAATTTAGGGAAAAATTTATAACAGACAATGGCTAATGGGATGTCAATGTCAGAAGGAAAGCTATAGCCAGAAGTAATTTTGTGATGCTGAAGGATATACGTTAACAACAGAACTCAAGCTTGTAACAAGGAATTAAAAACTCAAGAAGCTACACTCTATTCATTTTCCTGAATGCCTTATAAGCCAGGATATGTAAATATGTATGGAAGAAAACGTGGATGCTAAGATGTATGCTAAAAATTCCACGTAGACCATAAGACAAATGAACTTGTACTTGAAATTGCGAGAGCAAAAAAAACCTCAAAAAACAATTAAATCCGAAAGATGTTCAGAGCTAAAGAAAGGTACAGAGAGGTCCTCTAGAAGGCGAAGTAGTCAGCAGCAGAAATAAGCATTGATCTAGGAGTACTTGAATAACAGATGTCTCATTATAGTTAGAGAGGAGTTAGTGTGACAGATGGTGCGAACAGTCAAGCAAGGCACACCTTGTCAGCAAATTTCCAGACAGGAGCAGCTACAATCAGCAGAATACTAGTCATACAGCAATTCTTATGCAATTAACATTTGCGAAGAGCTTGCTCAGAAGCAAATTCCTTAATCATTAGATGTTGATTGAGCAACATTACATCAGGTATGAAACTTCAAGGCATTTTGTTTTCTCTTCAAGAATGAGAACTAAGTTAATGTTTCGAGTCCAGGAATGCTCTTCTGAAGAAGACTCGAAACATCAACTATGTTTTCACAGATGTTGTCCGACCTGCTGAGTGTCTCCAACAATTTCTGATGCTTTTTGCTTCAGGGGTCCACATCTGCAGCTGTTTTATTTTATTTTAGTTCTCATTCTTGTTGGATTAGTAAAAACATAATTGACAGGTATAAATTTGAGGGGCATAGACACAGTAGACAGGAAGAACCCTTTCCCCTTAGTAGAGGGGTCAAGAACCAGGGGACACATTTTTAATGTAAGGAATAGAAGATCGAGGGGGGAATCTGGGGAAAGAAAATTTACTCACAAGGTCGTGGATATCTGAAACTCACTGCCTCAAAGGGTGGTAGTGGGAAGGCTATGGGTCAAGTATTGGAAAGTAGGATTAGAATAGATGGATATTGCTCACTTAGGAACAGAGTAGGCCATTCAGTCCCTCAAACCCATTCTGCTATTTAATAAGACCCTGGCTGATATGTGGGCTAAACTCCATATACCTGCCTTTGGCCCATACCTATGCTTAGCAAAAATTTATCATAGTTTTAAAATTAAGAACTTATTTAGTATTAACTGTCATTTGTGGAAGAGAGTTTCAAACGTCTACCATCAGATAGGTCAAAACGGCCTCTTTCCATGCTGTTAAAAACTCTTTGACTATGTCTCTTTTAAAGCTTTACATTCTCATGTCCACATGTCATTACTAGCACTAAGCCAATGAGAAGTCAAGTTATGCACCAGATAAAACAAAGCATCCCTCACTATCATGATGACATTGTTATAGCCTAAACCTTGCATCATGATTACACTTGAAATAATGGTCCTTCCCCTTCTCAAACAGACAAAGAGACTCTTAAGATAAACATATTTTCACAGTTCCTTTTCTGACTTCTCACTGACAAATTCATCACAGGAAGATAAAGATAATGCAAAGGAAGGCAAGCACCAACATAAACGCAAGATGATACAGAAAAGGCTTGGAGGCAAGTTCAATGAACCAGAATCATTGCTCATGCAGCTGGGCAATCATTTCCTTCTGACTATTTCTGTTGGGGAATTAACAAAGTTAAAATGTTAAGTGTTCTGTATTGACAGAAGGATCTACTACGATTGCCAAAGAACTGAAACTGAATACCTCACCATGAACAGGCTTCAAGCTAGATCCTGCAATGCTCATTTATGCAGAACAGCGGTACTAAGTTAGAAAGGGGTTAGCCAGGACAAGTCACAAGTATCAAATTATTCAGCAGTAAACAAGATTTTAAAAATTAATACAAAGAGTAATTTGCACTTCTAGATTTCTGCTTCTTTTTAACAGAACAATTTAACTCAAAAGTAAAATAAACAGGTTTGTCAGTGACAGAGGATAAATGTAAACAAATACAACAGGACTTAGATATGTCATTGAATATTTAAAGAAGAAAGATTTTCCTCATCTTATTCTTCAGATCTAAAGATAAGAAGTTGGAAAACAGGGAGACATGGAGGATTAGATTTTCAAACTCAGCCCGAATTCTGGAACAAGTTTCCACTGTCTGCAAAAATCCTGCATGGAATCCAGAACCTCAATCTACTATATACAGCCATCCTTTAATGGCAACCTAATTCTTCAAAGCAGCCTACTCTAACCTCTTCAGAAGGGTCACTGGACTCAAAACGTTAACTGTTTTATCCAAAGATGTTCCAGACCTGAAGTTTTCCAGCAACATCTATTTTTGTTTGTTTCAGATCTCCAGCATCCGTAGTTCTTTGTTTGATCATAGATCATAAAATCCCTACAGTGTGGAACAGGCCCTGCGGCTCAACAAGTCCACACCAACACTTGGAGCATCGCACCCAGACCCATCCCCCTATAACCCACCTAAGCTACACATCCCTGAACACTACGGCCAATTTAGCACGGCCAATCCACCTAACCTGCACATCTTTGGACTGTGGGAGGAAACCGGAGTATCCGGAGGAAACCCACGCAGACGCGGGGATAATGTGCAAACTCCACACAGACGGTCACCCAAGGGTGGAATTGAGCCCAGGTCCCTGGCACTGTGAGGCAGCAGTGCTAACCACTGAGCCACGTTTGGTTATACTCAAATCTCTTGTCGAGTTTATTTCAACAGGGGCAAGAAGAGAAAGTTTTTTTTCCCCCCTTAGCCTTCAATTCTGAGTCTAGTACCAAGACAGGTACATGGGGGAATCATTTTAACCAAAATTTGCTTGGTAAGAAACTCATGAAATTAGGCAGAAAATTGAGTTATACCAACTTACTATTACAGTCAGTTTTACTACAAACAGATTAGGTTAAATTGACTCCATTCTCTCAAACTTAGCTTTCATGAAATGCCTTGCACTAAATAACCCCAATCTTGATTTGTGCTGCATTTCATGTGACCAAACAAGTATAACTTTTCCAAACTGATTCTTTTCCTTGCTCCAATTGCAATTTTTCACTTTACTTATATTATTCCAGCTGCCAAGGAATATTTAATATTAATTTTTATGTTAAATCCCAGCTCAACTGGCTGCTTCTTGTACCAAAGTCTTACGGCATGCAACACCTTGGTTAGTATAAATCATCTCAAGACAATCCCATCACTGCCCAGATGGAGAATTAATCTAATGCAACTTTGAACTGCAAATTTATTGCAAACAAGAATCTAGATGTCTTACTGCTTCTTTAGCAACTAGTTCTGCTGATCTTTTGTGAAAATTGTCACTTGAAGACATTTGAATTTTCCACTCCATTCCTAACTTTAAATCTGTGTAATCTTGTTTTGCATTCTGTTCTGGATTGCCCAGCAGTCATGAAACTCAGGGAGAAAATGAAAAAACATTGTGACTCCCTAACATTTCCTCAAAGTCCCACCATAAAATGAATTCCCATGTCCTGAAAAGCAAATGCTATTAAAATTATTAACATTTTCATTCGAGACAACAAGCCTATAACAAGAGAGTTTGGTTCTCATTCAATGGCCTATTGACATGCTGAGTGGAGACGTTAGGTGCTTCCTGTGACTAGTCTTAATGGGCAGTTTGAAGTGATGTGTTCCATGATCCAGGACTCATGGTCACAATTGCACCTTGGGTCAACCTTTATCTTCTACTTAGGAAGCTGCTGGCTGCATCTTCCAAGCCCTGTGCAGGTTCGGTTGTGCACCATCTGTTAATCTTTCAAGACGACTGAAGCTTGGGACCTCTGCTGTTACATCAGTAAAATGTTTTTTGTTAAAACAAATTCTGGGATGCACTTATCTTTATAGATACTTGATACTTGCTACATAAATTTTATCTGGTCTTACTGGAACACTAATTTTAATTGTTCTCCTTTCAAGTTTTGATGAATAGGAAAGTTGGCATTGCTCCTTTACCTTATTCAATTTCATGCAGCACAATTAGCATCAATATGAATAAGAGGGCAATGTCAGACAGCACTGGAAGCCACTTCACTGTTGTGGAGGTAAATTTTCCTGACACCGTAGGTATCACCCTGACATGTTCAGATGGAAAAGTGACATTAAAGTATTAAAACAACATTCAAGGTGACCAGTCAGGCATAACCACAACATAGGTAAGGGAATACAACTTGACAGTTTTTCAGGTAATTGTACATTTTAATGGGCATTTATTCTAGTTAGTTGGAGAATTTGAGGCATTTGTAGAAAAGTTGTGATGTTTATATGCATTTTTGTTCCAAAGTAGAGACAATGGGCACAGCTTCAATTCCCTCAGCCAACATTATTCAGAGTATAAGTGTGCTGCTGAAATGTATGCCATAAGCCACCATTTAAGATCACAGATTGCACCTTTCAACAAAGATTAATTCTGCTACGCAGATTATTCTGAAAATACTCCCAAAACATCAGTGATTTAACAACCCGGAGCATCATCATTCATCTTCAAGGGAAGATGATACATTAAGTAATTAGAAGAACGGTCACACAGAATTCACTAGTTCTGATACAGTGTGTACCAATCCAATAATGAAGGTCATGAGTAAGTACACAATGAAAGGCAGGTGCAGACATATTCTGTATTACAACATTACTGCATAACTTTCTAATGCAATCATTAAAAATAAGCAAAGGCTGGTACCACGAGAAATATTTATTGCTTGTTTCTCCCAGTGTTTACAGAATTGTCAAGTAAAATGCAAAGTACTTATTCAAAGATTTGTTTATGATCCCTTACTGAAGCAATGTTGCTTTAAAATTGCATTAAAATGTCTGAAATTGATCTCCAGTGAGCTTTGCAAGACCCTAATTTATTTAAACTTAAGATAACTTTGTCTTAAAACAATTGGATTACATCTCAATCCTCTCTGTAGAAGAACCAATATGTCAAATGCACTAAAGCAACAACACTGCATAAATTCCTCTGGACATATCCCTTTTTATTCCTTTTCTTATTCCACTACCACCTCTCTTACACTTTGTACCATTGCACTTTTGATATTTCATTATTCCTGCTCTCAACCCAATCACGTTGATTGCTTTTCCTCTGCACACATCCCCCTACCTTCTCCATGGCCTTGCACTTAAGAAGCTGTTCAGCTTCAACATCTTCCAGTCCTGATGAACATTATCAACTGGAAACTGTAGGCTCAATTTTAGTCACAAAAACAGGTGGGGCAAAAGTAAATGTAAAAAGCCGAGCCCTGATTGCTATGGAGGCAGACAAGGAGTAATCAGCTAATTTGCTGCAGGCGCGTATGCTGATAATTTATATTTTTAAGCCGCCTTGCAGGATTTACAGCCAACAGTGGGGTTTCCAAAGCAAGATCAGAGCAAATTGAAGGCACAAATGCAAAAAGCAACAAAACAACTAACTGGGGAAGGCCTGATCGCTTATAAGACATCAGGGCAGACAAGAACTTTCGATACTACAGACATACTTTGTTCTTTTTTAATAAAACACCTTGGAGGTTGAGAGAGTGCGTGTGGGAAGTTAGAAGTTAAGGACATCAGAGAGAGTTCAGCAAAACCATTCCATTAAGTGGCCTTTTCTCATTCCAAATACAATAAATCCCCAGTGGCATGATAAGCAACAGTGAGCACTTGGCAACTACTTGCGAAGCAGTTTTGAAAGCTTCCTTGGAGTTAGTCACCTATTTAAACCACCACCTGAAAACTACTGCATATTGTCAAAAGATCCATGCAGAAAGGACATTAGAAGTACAAAAATTTCCCAAGAGAGTCCTTTTTAATGAATAAATTCCCAACATAAATGTCATCTCAGTAAAATAGTGCCAAGACTTTCCCCCAGCAAACAAGATCATAATCCATCTTTCCATAATCAGCTAAAATTCAGTACTAAATCACAATATTCATGTACAGCATTGTTCATCACTCAGAGCTTTTTTAAAAACTGGATTTCTCAGTACTGCTGCCATCTGTCCCAAATGATGAACGCAAAAATAAAGTACAATGAAGACAATACTTGAAGTAACATACCTGGATAAGTCTTTACATAAGTCATTTTGTTGAAATCTTCAGCCATGATGAACTCCTAAAAGGAAATAGTAGAAATGCTTACTCTGTAATTAACACAAGCAGATCTCTTGAAGCACCACTTCAGACCTCTATTACTTGGAGAATCCACAGTTTTAGAAGGGCGGGAGTACCATAATGCAAGATTTTTGTTTTTGTACCTTTGCTTAGAGAATAATGTAAGGTTGTGGAAAGGTTTACAAGCATTTTTATATTCAGCATGTGAGGGTGGTCAGTCCCATACAGAGGGAGAACGGATGGCTTCCAACACCCATTAGATGTGAAAATCCTGCCGGATGCTGATTTGGATTCAGAGCTAAAACTCTGGTCTCTACTTTCTGTGAACGGTCAAAAGGGCATTCAAACCTTGCAGAACTTGATCCCAAGGCTGGAATATTTACCACTGAGCCAAATGTTCACTCAATGCATTACAGTCCATAACATATTACTCTTTTACCAAGTACCGCTGTGAGCGACTGTTGTACATCTTTTTTGCGGTCCATATTCTGACTGGGTTAACTTGAACAAACTGTCAAATCAGTCAAGTTTTTTTTTAATTAAAAAAAATCCATCTTTTCTGTAAGTCATTAGATCAATTGGAAAGTATTTTCAGTGAAAACGTTCTCTGTATTTTAAAAATGTTTAATTTCCTATACTTTCTTTTAAAAAACAAAAAGAAAAGAATCTCTTTGAAATTTGCCAGAATGGGAAGTCTGACCAAACCACCATCTTGGTCACATCATGAATACACATAATGCCTTACTGAGGAGTGATTCCAGTAGCCAAAACGGTGAAGCGGTCACTCATCCCACCAAAATGTAATATTAATTCCTCCAAGCTCTAGATTTTCAATCACATGTTCTTATAGCTAGCTGGCAAACATGCCTTCCAGCAGCTTTTCATCCAAGAATTTGATCATCAGCTGCATGATATTCGTTTGCCTTCAGTACAGTGCTGGGGAAAATATAACTCCACAAAGCACGGTTATTACTGATGCAAGCTGATGTCCTGGATATGCGGGACACAGCACATTTAATCGTCAACTCATTGGACAGATTTGTAATTGAGGGGCTTTGGCAAAGAATGGCACCCTCTCAGAACTCAGTGAGAGGTTGATAAAGGCTAAAGTTCTTCCTCAATGTGAGTGTGCTTTTATATGTAGGTGTAGGTTCCTTTCACTTCACATTAAGAAGGTTACATACTATTTAGGACTGGGATGAAGAGAAATGTAGTCACTCAGGGGGTTATGAATCTTTGGAATTCTCTATCTCAGGGCTGTGGAAGTATCATTGTAAGCTGAGATTAGAAAAAAACAGTTTCAAGGAAAAATATATGATTTAGGGAACAGGTGGGATGGTGGAGCTCAGACAGAATAATCGGCTACAATTGTACAGAATGACAGAATAGGTTACAGGGACTGTACAGTTTACTCATTCTCTTATATTCTTATTACAATCAAGAGAGTTTCCCCTTCAGTTTTTTTTAAAGTCCATGTTGCAGCCACATGCCCTTGAAAAACAGTAGCATGGAATTCAGGTGGAAACTGCCTATAATAGAAAAAGGTCAAATTAAATAGGAGATATTCAGCAAAGAAAGTAAACAGACATTACTTCAATACTGCATTTAATTCTGGAGAAAAGTAATCAACTTAGGATTTATCACTGTGATATGGATGAACATAACATTCTTTGGATGAAATGATCATCAGCAAGGTCAGTATTTATTAACCATCCATTTATTAGCCAATCAACAAATTGCAGTGAGTCACTTCCAGGAATCACTGCAGTCCACATGATTTAGGGAGTGAGTTCCAGAAGTCTGACCCATGAAATGCAAAAGGAATATAGTTTGCAGTCAGGATGGTGTGCAATTTGAAGAGGGATAAATGCAGTTGGAGGTGTTTCCGTGTGTCTGCTGCCCTTGTTCCTCCAAATGGTAGAGATTGCAGGTTTAGGAGATGTTGTCAATGAAGCCTTGGTGAGTTGCCGGAGTGTATCTTGTAGATGGTACAAACACTGCCACTATGCACAGAGGAAGAAGGGAACAGTGGGTGAGGTGCGAATCAAGCAGGCTGCTTTGTCTTAAATGATGATGTAGTTTGAGTATTGTTGGAGCTGCACTTAATCAGGCCAGTGAGGAGTATTCCATCATACTTATTACCATGTACAAGGTGCAAGTTAGAAGGCTGTGGGGAGGCAGGAGGCAAGCCTCTTGCCATAGTACAGCACCATATAACATGCTGCAGCCACTGTATTTATGTGGCTGATCCAGTTACATTTCTGGTCAATGGTGACCTCCAGGGCATTGATAGTAGGGGAGTTCCATGATGGTAATATGATAGAATGTCAAGGGTAGTTGGTTAGATTCTCTCTCTTACTGGAGATGGTCACTGACTGGCACCTGCATAGTACAAACGTTATTATCATTTATCAGCCATAGCCTGATTGTTTTCTGATCTTGCTTTACGTGAGCACAGATGACATCAGTGTCTGAGGAGCTGCAAATGAAATTGAACATTTCTGATTGTATGTTGGAGGAAATATCATTGTTCAAGCAGCTAAAGATGGTCAAGTCTAGGGCACTGTGAGGAATTCCTGGGGCTGGGATGATTCTGGTCTTCATAAACTCTAGAAACAAATGACTTCATTTGAAAGCCTCAACTCTGATTCTTTTAAAGCAGCAAGTGTACACAATAGCATGTCATTCTGGATGCAGTAGTGTCCCAAAACCCTCATTCTAAAATGAGGGAATACTGAGTTAAGTCCATCATTGCCTGAAGGATTCAAGATTTTAGCTAGATACCGTAGTGAACTACAAGTGGACACACAAAATGTTTCTCCCTCTGGAGAAAATTAACAAAGAACATTCTTGAAGGAAAACAGCTGTTTCATGTGGAACATTGACAATCCATTGAAGTAGGTCATTATCTCAGCAGGGAACAGAGCCATACAGCATTGGTGGGGGGTGGGGGAGGAAGCAGACATACCACTAAAGTGGTAAAACATAAATCATTCAGAAAAACAAAATACAAAACTAATGCACTTTGGATGTTGCTAAGACCTAACTAAGGTGATCACATCAAGGCTGAACATAAATCACCAGATTTTTTTAAAATACATTTTTAAACATTCAGCAAGAAACAAGAACAGTGACCCTAATCCTAATGATTAGTGCAGAGACAGGACACGACGCAGGCATACATACCACAATTGCTCCATTATCCTGACCCATAAAAATCCGTTTGCTGTCATGATTGTAGGAAATAGCAGAGCAGGGTGCTTTAAAAATAAAAGCCGATATTTAACATTAGCTGCTCATATCCAAAAACATCTGACATATTCCTTTAAAAAACAGTGTAATGAACATTCAGAGACATTTTATAAAGATAAAGTTGATACTCATTTCTGCCTACAATGATTTTTGTTTTACAAAGCAGCAGTGGCTGATCCACATTCCTAGATCTACACATGAATTACAGCTCTTCCATTTTCTTGGAAATACACCAGCTAAAGCAGATATTGTGGTAAAGTTTGGGAAAGCTGGGCACAGTTCCCCGACTCTGTTTGGCGAACGATAAATCAGAGAATTCAAACAATACCTTATTTTAATATTGTTCTGACCTGCCATACCATGTTTCGTCATTCAATACCCTTAAAAGGATACTGTTTCATATTTCTAATACAGCAACTGCTTTGGGTGATTGGACCTTTATGCCAGCAACGTAAAGATCAGATATTGGAGCATGAAGAGGTTATGCTTATAAATTATAAGCTCTTAAAAATTCCACAAATCTTCACATTATTTGCTTTAAACACTGCCCAGATTAAGCGGTTATTTGAGCAAAAATAACACTGAATTCCAGGTCACTGTACCTGCAAGTGGTTAGCAAACACCACCAACCACAAGAACCACTGCATCACTTGTACAAATTGTGCAACATCATTTCAAAATGATTATTATGTTTCAACTGGCAGAGATGCTTCAATAAATCAGTATTAATATTGGTTTTTCCACCATCCCCAAAGACAACGCGCTGGACTTAGATTGCTAACCAAACACTATAATTTTCCCGGAATTTGCTTCTGAAAACAGGCTTTCAGTGGATGGGATATGAAGAGGCACTTAAGATGACTGTAGTTGCAACATTGAAATGACTTTTTAAAAAAAAGCAAAGTAGCAATATTTAAACTGCCTGAAGTAACTGGCTGTTTGCTGTGCTTGTATCACAAGATAGTACATCATAACCATAACAGCTTAAAATAATCAATTATTTGTTTTAAAAAAACAATGAAGCCTTTAATGATAGCAAGCATTTCTACTTAATCAAAATAAAATTAAGTCAAGGCTGCCTCATTCTACGCAAATCCCTACGGCTGCAAATTTTGTGTTCCAAGAATTAGTGCAAATTCAGATTATCCAGTCAGATCTGTAATGATACTTTCATTCCAAGTTGGAAAATAAGAGCTTCTAACAATATTAGATGCCTTGCTAGTGCAGAGAAGATTTCAACATTAACAAGAAAAATATAGGCCTGTTAGTCAAATATCTGACAACAAAATGCTTAAAACCACAATTAAGGAGTTAATAGCAAGAAATTTAGAGAATTGTAACACAGTCAATGTAGTTTTGAAAAGGAAAATGATGTTTGACTAATTTATTAGAGTTCTTCGACAAAGTAACAAGGAGAGTGAATGAGGGAAACCAACAGACACGGCGTATTTGGATTTTCAAAAGGTATTTGATAGATGCCACATAAACGATGACCACACAAAATTAAGAGTTCATTCTGTGTGGGTGGTGGAATTAACAAATTATGTGAAAAGAAGATTGGTCCATGGGAGGCAGCGAATGAAATAAGTGAGTCATTTTAAGGTTAGCAAGCAATAAATAGTGGAGTGCCACAGAGATCAGTACTACAGCGTCAACTGTTTACAAACTATATCGATGACTTTGATTAAGAGACTGAACATGGGCTTGTTAAGTTTGTTGATGACACAAAGATAAGTAGGGAACAAAGATGTGAAGAGAGTGCAAAGGGTTTACAAAGATATACAAATAGGTTAAGAGAGTGGGCAAAATTTCACAGATGGAATAAAATGTGAAATAAAAGTGAGCTTGTCTGTTTTGGCAGGAAGAACAGAATATTATTTAAATGGAGAGATTTCAGAAATCTAAAGTAGAGAAGGATTTGTGTGTCCTGGTACACGAAACACAAAGCAATAGTTATACCAACACAGCCAATGATTTACAAAGCAACAGAATGTTGGCCTTCATTGCAAGAAGAATGGAATAAAATAGTGGGGAAACATTGATACAGTTGTACAGGGACTTTGTGAGACCACATCTGATGTGCTGTGTTCAATTTTGGTCTCTTTATTTAAGGAGGGATACAATTGTGTTGAAAGTAGTTTAGAGAACATTCACTCAGTTGAGTCCTGACTGGAGTGAAAGATCTGACTTACAATGAAAGGCTGACCAGTTTAGGCTTATACCGATGACAATACAGAAGGAGGAGAGATGAATTTATGCAAACTTATAAAAAGTATTGAAGAAGATTGATATAGTAGATGCTGGAAGGACCTTCCATCTTGTAGAAGAATCTAGAACTAGGGAATACAGTTTCAAAATAAAGGGTCTCCTATTCAAGATGGGGAGAAGGTTTTGTCTTTTTTGCTCTCAGACGGTCAATAGAGTTTGGAATTCTCTTCCCCAGCGAGCAGTGGAGACTGGGTCATTGAATATATTCAAGGCTGAGTTTGATAAATCCTAAATGTACAAGGGAATGAAGAGCTTTTTAACACTCTGTGGACTGGGGAGAATTTTGGGTGGGGGTGTGCACTTATTAGGCTAGGGCTAAATTCCACGTTCAGTGGTGGGAGGGGGGTACCGAGGGTAAATACTGAATGGAAGGGTCTGAAGAGCCAGTCAGCAGACAAAAAGACGTTGAGTGTGAACAAAGGGAAGTGAAGTCCAGTGAAAGCAAGTGCATTTGTACAAACAGGTATAAGATGCTGTAGATCTGAAACAAACACAGAAACTGTTGGAGAAACACAGTCACTGGATTTGAAACATTCCATAGATACGGCCAAACTTACTTGGTTTCTCCAGCAATTTTTGATTTTGTTCACATTGCAATCTAGTTCACGTCAATTATCATCTTCCCTGAGCTGTTGAGCCATTCTGTTACTATGGGAGACATATCTCAATGTTCAGCATACCATTTAGGGACTCCTTTGTGATTTCAGTCACTTCAAACCAACCGGTACTTAACTACTTCAAAGGCTGCTGCAGCAGCGACTTCACACTGTCCATTTACGCATAAATTTACTGTACTGTATAACACGTACCATCTTTATATTTTAAGCTTCACACATACATCTGATGGTACAATTTTCTGGAATTATTTTGATCATTAAGACTTCATTCCAAAATGATGAGAAAGATTAGTTCATAAAGAATGAGTGCCATTGCTACTTCCTCTGTACACCAACTAGACAAAAGTAGGAAGATCTTAATATAAACCACTCCCTCATATATAATCACTCATTCTTATAATACTATGCAAAAAACTACTTCTTGGAATCAACGTCAAATTCAGAAACAGGGTCATATCAGTAAATGTTACATTGAAACCACTGAATCTAATAACTTGAATGTTTTACTCACCTGATACTGTGTGAAAAATGCTTGGCCAATACTGACCACTGTCTCGTTTCAACCATACACGTATTGTCCTGTAGAAAGAGCCAAGTGGATTACTGAATAGAAGATTCTCACAAACATATACATTCCCAGTAGAACACAGATTCATAACCCTTCTTTTCCCAAAAGTAATGAATCCACTTTATGGTGATTGCAACTTTGCTTCAGTTAGTTTGCATTTTTCCTATTATGTTTTGGTGGGCTGGGTTTCGTGATTCGAAAGCCTGGAAAGACTTTCTATCTAAAGCATTTTACAGTGTTGCCCTTATTTCAGAATACCATTAGAATTTGTAACTCAGACAATGGTGTCAGGATTTAAGATGGGAATTTCATACTTGTGTCTGGCACATCGCTAGGTTTGCTTATTTGCACCAGAAATCTATTTATTTTAGATTAATCACCACACTATATTTTTGCAGCAATGCATTTAATCTGTTACAGGAAAAAGTGGCCACAAAACTGAAAATTCATAGCACTTCACAATGGCATGGCTTAGAGTCAGAGCGTCTATTTCCATGCTGCATGATTCTTCGGTCCAACCAGTGCATGTCGACCATAATCCCAAACTATACTAGCCCCATTTCCTTCCAAACCTTATTTATTCACGTACTTATCCAAATACCTTTCAAGCGTTGTAACTGTACCTGCATCCATCACTTCCTCTGGAAATTCATTCCACACACAAACAACTGTACAAAAATGTTGCCCTTCATTTTTTTTTTAAATCTTTCTCCTCTCACTTTAAAAATATATGCTCCTTAGTCTTGAAATCCCTGACCATAGGCAAAAGACACCTACCATTCACCTTATCTATACTCCTCAGGCTTGCAGAGACAATGCAAGTAAATGAGGCTAAGTGAAACCCAACAAAAAGAGCACAAGTACAAAAGATTTCAAAGATTGCTCGGTTTTGAGCAGAATAAAGTCTGTAAAAAAAGCCCAGATTATGCTCCTGTTCTAAAGGAAGTATTTGTATGAGATGACATTTGTTTTCACATTATTCTGGTTCATGCTTTTTTTCAGAAAAAATCAGATGTATAATTAGGAGATAGAAAAACAACCAAATGGGCTTGACCTAAATAACTGTCATTGACATTATTTAGCAGTTTCAGTGACACTACCATAAAAAGGACAGTACAATTAAAAAGAAAATGAAGTAACTTAAATGTAATTATAATCAAACATAAGCAATATTCTTCTACAAATTATTTGAGTGAATCAGTTCTTGCACAGTCACTTCGGTATTTTTAAAACTTTTTTTTACATTCACCTCAATGTACAGTTTTCACAACACAACTTTACTCCTAAATTGAAAAACAAAGAATAATTCTAGAATAAAAATTTGAAAACTTCTGTTCCATTCAGACCTACTACAATAACCCTTGAATAGCAATGAACACTTGCAAAATCTCTGCTACTTTAAGCTGAAAAAAGTGCATATTTTTCAAGTTATCGAACAAAACCTCAGCACAGGCCAATATGGTGTTCCCCAGCCTCCAAAAAGCCTAATCAATGAAATTAGCTGTGTGTCTATTAATAATTTAATAAGGTATAACAAATAAGCAGTTAATGAAACATTTTCTAACCATAACTATTTCAGAAATAGTTTTTGTGGCTAAGGAATCTTTTTTGGAAAAAAACTTTATAAAGCAGAATATTTAACATCACAGTATCCAGTTGCAAATAAGCTTTTATTGTACCTTGAGATATTATATAACAGACAAGAGGTGACACACTAGAATCTATAATATTTGAAAGTGCAGACCTCAGGAAAGAGTTTTTCAGAATGTCTTCAAACTGGACAAGGTATCATATTAAGAGATAGTAGGAACTGCAGATGCTGGAGAATCCGAGACAACAAGGTGCAGGGCTGGATGAACACAGCAGGCCAAGCAGCATCATAGGAGCAGAGAGGCTGACGTTTCGGGCCTAGACCCTTCATCAGAAAAGGGGGAGGGGAAGGGGGTTTTGAAATAAATAAGGAGAGAGTGGGAGGCGGATAGAAGAGGGATAGAGGAGAGGATAGGTGGAGAGGAAACAAACAGGTCGAAGAGGCGGGGATGGGGCCAGGAAAGGTGAGTGTAGGTAGGGAGTTAGGAAGGGGATAGGTCAGTCCAGGGAGGACGGACAGGTCAAGGGGGCGGGATGAGGTTGGTCGGTAGGAGATGGAGGTGCGGCTTGAGGTGGGAGGAGGGGATAGGTGGGAGGAAGAACAGGTTAGGGAGGCAGGGACGAGTTGGACTGGTTTTGGGATGCGGTGGGGGGAGGGGAGATTTTGAAACTTGTGAAATCCACATTGATACCATTGGGCTGCAGGGTTCCCAAGCGGAATATGAGTTGCTGTTCCTGCAACCTTCGGGTGGCATCGTTGTGGCACTGCAGGAGGCCCAGGATGGACATGTCGTCTGAGGAATGGGAGGGGGAGTTGAAATGGTTCGCGACTGGGAGGTGCAGTTGTTTGTTGCGAACCGAGCGTAAGTGTTCTGCAAAGCGGTCCCCGAGTCTCCGCTTGGTTTCCCCGATGTAGAGGAAGCCACACCGGGTACAGCGGATGCAGTATACCACATTGGCAGATGTGCAGGTGAACATCTGCTTGATGTGGAAAGTCTTCTTGGGGCCTGGGATGGGGGTGAGGGAGGAGGTATGGGGGCAGGTGTAGCACTTCCTGCGGTTGCAGGGAAAAGTGCCGGGTGTGGTGGAGCTGGAGGGGAGTGTGGAGCGGACAAGGGAGTCACGGAGAGAGTTGTCCCTCCGGAAAGCAGATAAGGGTGGGGAGGGAAAGATGTCTTTGGTGGTGGGGTCGGATTGCAGATGGCGGAAGTGTCGGAGGATGATGCGTTGGATCCGGAGGTTGGTGGGGTGGTACGTGAGGACGAGGGGGATTCTTTTTTGGTT